CATTCAAAATAATTGTGCGTGGTGATATTAAATTTAAAACGTGCTATAACACGTATATAATTAATCTAAGATTAAAACATGGGTACGTCTGCGGTCTTGATTAAATATCATATGACGCCCACTCCGGCGATGAATTGGCTTTGGGCTGCCCACGTTTATACAAATGTCACCTTTTAATCATAACAAATACAATCTAAGCAATAATTAGGCTATGTTTGATGAAGCTATAATAACACGTTAGATGTTTTCTATTGTAGAATAGTATTTATTTTTGAACTGTAGGGGTACGAACAAATCGAATATACAACGCTGGACTAGTTATTAAATGTTTAACGTTGTTATTGTTGAAAATATTTAAATTAATATTATGCTATCAAAAAATAAGGTGTTTTGTATAAAAACCAATCTTAATTATTTAATATACATCAACTGGCCCATCATTTTTAATTTTAAACTAGAAAATATTCAGAAAGATTTTATTTGTAAAGTTCAACAACTAGGTTTCAAATAATATTTGTATCAAATTAGACCTGCAATTACTATAAAACAGGTGTCATATTTATATATATATATGTGTGTGTGTGTGTGTGTGTGTATGTGTGTGTGTATAGACCTCTTGAGTAAAACGAATTTCTTTGTTTCTTTGATTTATTCAAGAAATAATTTCTAAATAAACCTTTTATATCCATATTATTATTTACATTAGTTATTAATGCATTAAACTCCGAAGAAAGTTTTAATGTCGATTAATCAAGTATTAAGGTTAAGCACCGTAATATATTTCTAAATATATATTATTATAGCTCATTTTGAAATTTACTCGTATGAAATATTACTAATAAGCTACAGAGTCACTGTATCAGCATAACAGATAATACGTACAGTAATACTGTAGAATTCGCTTATAACGATCTTCAAGGGACCTAAAGAATCAGATTGTTATATACGAAATTCGTTGTAGCCAGATGACAAAAACATTACCTACGTCATATATAAAACCAACCAAATACATGGCTAGAAATCGTTTATTCGGAACATCGTTATATACGGCATCGTAATAAGCGGATTCTACTGTATTAGTTATATTAATACATTTTCAAGTGTCCTGATATTGAAAAATAGGTATAGCATATATTGGAACCATAAATAAGTTAAAAACATGAATGTACCTAACTAAAAGAAAGAGAATAATTTAATTAACGTCTTGAAATTTAAATTTAAGTGGTTAGTGTAGAACAATGTATGTGAAGAAATTTATTTCAATGTATGATTCAAAATATTATAAAAATTAAGTATACCAATTTTTTTTTTTAAGATTTTGAAATATTTAAATGAAAAATATAAATAGAAAAATTTAGTATTGATAGGAATTAAAATAAAATGTTTTTAAAAAACGTTAACACCAATTACACTGAGAAGTTATATCCAATAGAGTTTAAATTATTTCGGACTCTGTAAAATAGTATAGATCACGGGTACAATAATAATGTATTCGTGTGTGCTATAAATCAGTAATTTCTATATTTTTCTGCCTTCAGATAACGAACGAAATGTTTTATCAATCATTGGCTCTTTCCGCCCGTAATTTGTCTTGGGCGTATTTCGCTCGTGTTGTAAGGATTTGATGAACGAGCATTGACCCACGATGTTCACTCGTATACGCGATATTACCGCGGTGGAATAGCAATAACAGTCGGAATTGATGGGCAACTCTGCAGTATCGGAATGCGAAAATTTCTGCAGAGAACCTTGCAATGCGGATCGGTGTTGGTGGGATTGGGGGGGGAGGGTTGAAAGGAAGAAAAAAAGAAAATAGCACGAGTCAGTCGGATGTTCACTAATCTTGTTTTCCGTTTAGGTTGTGCGCGGGATGTAGCAAATGCGCGTAAGGGTTAGATCGGCTCCGAGGCAGAGGGGAAGTACGCGACGAAGGGTGCGACGTTGGAGCAGCAGTCGTGCGATAATATTAATGATGTAGTCGGAATTTATTTAACAACTGTCGCGGCGGCGACCGAAAATAAAAACCGTTTTAAACTGTAGCGAATAGGAATCTATCATTGTAATTAATGAGCTTATAATGACAGCGATACCTATTTACCATTAGCGCCGTGCGTTACGAACGAATCATCGGTATATTAACCCGGGCATACTCCGACCCACGCGCCGAGAGCAAAAACGCCAAGACTTTTATAAAAAAAAAAAGTACGTTTGTCTACGCGTGATGCCGGGGATAGCGTACGTACCCTTCGGCATGAGCGCACGTTCAGTCTAAGCCTTGGGTGTGCTAAAATTGTTCACCCCAAGGTGATCCGTGGGCGGGAAAAACTACCTAGCACTACATGTTTAGTTTTACCATTCATTATTTTTTTTTTTTATTGATACGCGATCAGATCGATTGGACGGTAAACAAGTTCCTAAATAGTATTCCAGCAATAGATAATAAAAAAATAAACTTGACCGTCATCACGATGTCACATGCCTCGTGAATGGGTAAAACGACAAACCCAAATACCCAATACTCATACCGCATTCGTACATGTATAACGTGTACGTACGTACATTGTGCGCCCGTAGTGCTTTACCAATAAAAACTGGAATTAAAAACTAATTTCAATAAATGCAAAATAAAATTCTTTGAACAATACGTTCACCTCGAAATAAACTGGGGGTGCTAATTTAGAACTTGGGACGCTAAGCACCCCCTAGAACCCGCGTATGTGCGCCAACACCCTCCGGACGTATGCGAATAACGTTGACTCGAAAAAAAAAAAAAATGAAGAATAAAATATATTATAAACACAATTCGAATCGATTTCAAACGCGATCGTTTTGTATCGACAAATGCCGTGTTGTGTCGTGCACGGTCGCGCAGACACTTTTGACATATTTATGTACGCGTCGTGTGCAAGACTTTCGCGATCTCTTCTGGCACGTTCTTATCATTAATAAAACAACGTCTAACGGCCGTGAATAATGCCTGTCACACATATCACTATCACTGCTCGGACCAGACGCAGTAATAATAATGGTCACGTGTCTTTTCATCAAACAATAACGTTCACCGTATTTCCGGTCGGCCGCATCGGTAGTAACTAATGAATTTATTGCGCCCGTACGAATGTAATATGTTCATACGCATGTTGAATTACTTGACGCGTATGCGCACGGAGTGTGTAGCTTCTCTTTTTACGATCACCGTTCGAAAATAATTAATAATGTACACGCGATACATGTTATACTGCACTCGAAATCGTAGATCCCTACGTACACGATGTACGCGTTATATGCTTTCACGATTCCATATTCGTTAGTATTAATATTTTGTATTTAGAAATACACCGATATCGATCTGGTAGTAACAATCGGTCAATTGTTCCGTTAAGACACGCCCATATTAATATAATTTTACGCAAAATTTAAAAATAAAAAAAAATTGTACCTATTCGATAAAAAAGATATGATTTTTTTTTTTTACCATGTTTATCCGTTTAAGCGGTTCGCGCGCTCTCGGTGAAATTAATAGGATCGGCTTCTATATTTATATTTCTCCTGTATTTAACTCGGGCAACAAAATTATTATTTTATACCTTTACGGCAACTATCGAATTATTTAAATATTTAAAAACCATATAAATATATGGTTTTATTTTGTTTTGCTATACTAGAACAAAATTAACTATTTTTCAAAAATATTTAATTGTTTATTTTCTTTTTCTAAAAATCTGTGTTAGGAACTTTATGGTGAAGAACTAAGCAGCAGAATTAAAAGTTTAGTGTTCAGCTCTCCCCCAAAGGATTATCCTTGACTGCGGTTATTATTTTTCATACACAGAAAACTCATATGGGGGATCTCGTATTGAAGTCTGTATAGAATTGCTCTGTGTAATATTGTTCCTTTATTCAGCATTATTGAATAGTTTTTAGATTTAATTCCGCAGGGATAATGAATAACATAATACGTGTAAATTTCATAGATTCAAAATGTCTCTATAAATTTAACGTGATTTATTGTGGAGGCTAGTTGATCTCGCTTTTCCAATGTTTATTTAACAACCTATTTCGGTATATAATTACGCTAAACAATACGTGACTGAATTCATATAAATTAACTTAACCATTGTAGTTCTGAAGAATTGGGATTTTTTTCAACCATCAAATTACAAATTTTTTTTTATTTCGCTCATCAATGCAATACAATTGATCATTGTTAATTAATCCGTTAGCATTTAAAAAGTAAATCGTTTCGTACAAACGCAACATTATATGGCGTATATCAAAATAGTAAGGCCAAATGACGTATGGCTGAGCGCCAAATGGACTAATGTAGTTTTAATGAAACACGTGTTTGAACTTCAAAAGTGGCGTTCGTTGAAAAACAAAATGTGTTCTTTATTATTAATTGATTCAGTAGTCATTATTATAAAAGGATTTCTTCCCTGTGTCGACATAATTTCCGTAAAGGTATGAAAGATTTGCAGAAGTTTTTATTATGTGCGCAAAAATATTGATTTATAAAAGCCGTGAAAAAATGTAAATGTCATTTGTATTCATGTCAAAAATGTAATTTGAGGCTTTCATAACCAATCGAATTTACGGTTCCGAATTTATACCAAACTATTACAAAATATATAATGACTATTTTACCATTAATGAAATTGGAAATTATACGTTATTATATTATTGTACGTCGAACAGAATAAAAAAGAAATATATGTCATTACGCAGAAGTCATCGAGGTTTCATTTTAGAATTAAGAATTGTATCAATTACCTAATATCATATTTGACTTAATACTTAGGTATTATTATTGAAATAATAATTATAAGTTATTGAAAAAAAAAACTAAAATATAATATAATAAAGTGCCTTAATGCGTTCCGAATGGAATATTCAAATTGATTACCCAAAATGTAAACGAAAACTGTGTAATAAGATATTTTCTGTATTTTACTCGTTCGCCAACGGTGATTAACACGTTATGAATTAATTGTTCGTTGTAGATTAATACGGAATTGCCGATTGATTGTATGAAGATGACAATGGATGCCGCAGAAAGCGCAAGGCTAGGGTTGAACTTGAACTTGAGCGTACAACCTCAATCGTACCACTGGATGCAATCCCCGAAAGGCACCGATGACGAGGACGAGGACGACCGTAGACGTGCCGACGACGATTGTTCACCGGAAGAAGAACCGGATATCCTGGAAATGCAGGTATGTAATTTCATCGATTCCTATGTGTTTACACGATATTGTGTGCATTGCGTTCATTTTGATTGAATGCGACGATAATACGCGGTCATATATGTATAATTATGTGACTTATTACATTGTCTCGATTTGTACATCGCCAGTTTTAACATGGCTAACAGTTCTTAATGGTCCGTTTCGATTTCAGCGAGAAGAACGTGAGACCCTCAATCAGTTGGCACGCCGTTTGGCTACTGGGTCACACGCCGGACTGATGGGAGGCCACGCCACGTCCATGATACAGCATTTGGTTTACCGTCATCCCAATGCGATGGCTTCGTCCGACCAGATCGTCATGCCGATGTCTTCCAGGCGGTCAGCTGTTGTGGATTCACCACCCGGGTCAAGTCGATCGGGTGACACGCCGCTCGGTCACGAGTACCCATCGGAGAACGAGTCGTCTTTGTTGTCCAGAAAAGGCGAGGCGCAATCGTGGACTTTCGAAGAACAGTTCAGACAAGTAAGTAGACGGTTTTCCACTTAAGCCCGGTCCGAATAAATTCCTCATCCGTGCAAATGTTGCGTTTAAACGGCCTTAGCATTCGTTAAGGTATTTGAATGCATTTAATTCTAGAAGGTGTTTGTGTTTTGTGAATAATATGCACTTTTTTGTGCACTTTTATGACTATTTTGTGCTGTTCGCGTTTGGAATTTTTCGACCAATCAAATCTTGGTTTTTTTCCGTCTACACGATTCGTAAAACTGCAGGATCTCTCCAGTTGTTTACCGCCATGCATAATGTTATGTTTTATAATATTATACATCCATGCGTAATTCTTCGTAAACGAACGCTATTTTTCCATTGGATTTAAATATATGCAAATGGAAAATCTACTCGAAATGATTATACATAAAACGCGCACTGATACAATCTTGCTTTCGTGGGGGAGGATATAATAGTAATATTAACAACTGAAATAATAATAATAATAATAATAATAACAACAATAATAATAATATATACGTGTATTTTTTACGCATAATAATTATTCTCATCGAACACACGTCAACATTGTCACCGGTTGATGCGCGAGAGTCCTTTCTCATGGAGGTCGACGACACGCGGCTGTACACAAAAGACCATAATCAGTATGTGTGCCTGTGTATGTATGTGTTGCGTGTAATGCTTTTAATGAAACAAAAAATAGTCGTAAAGATGTTTAAGAGAAAAAAAAGGAAATGAATGAAAGAAAACTGAATACACACGAGCACACACCTGTTGAATTGGTCACAAGAGACGGCGAAATTAATAAGACCGGTGGACAATACCTACTACCGGGTGAGAATATATTTTATGCCGTGAGAGACGGATTTCGATCGCATCATGTCAACCGATTTGTCATCTTCACAAACCTACGGATTAGGTGCCGCTCACCTGCCACCGGCTGGTCCACGCCGAGTGCAGCTTGTGTTCTCATCATCTGACACATGATGTGATGACTGCAGCGATGACGCGCGCGGTCAACCCTATCGGAGAGATGACCTGCCACCACGAGGGGGTGGAAAGGTGTTTTGGCGTTATATAAATATTTAGAACTCTCGATGCCGTAAACAGCGTATAGTGGTTTGACCGTAAAAATAGGGGGGGGGGGAATAAAAACAATCGTTACGAATTTGTATTTAGTATTTCAGATTTAAAGCGTCTAACATTATTATAATAAGAATAATAAAGAAGATTACTTCTTTTAGTTACTTCTTTTTAGTTTTTACTGAATGTTAGAGCGAGGAAGAAATTCTCTAAATAGTAGAGGAGAATAGAGTGTTACTATCCATCATTAAATCAAGAAGCAGAAAACTTATGGGAAACTTGATGAGACGTAAGGCTTTTGTAACCAACATAGTGGAAGGAAGAATTAATGGATGCGCAAAGAAAGAGGAAGACACTCATAGGAGAGATTCTAGATGACGTTATAGAGGGAATAGTGGAAGTCAATTTTATCGCTTTGACAAGGCTTAGTCTTTAGAAAAGAAGAAGAAGATTATTTTAATATTAGACGCTTTAAATCTAAAATGGTTTACCTATGTATATTTGTGGAATGGAATAAGAGATCTACACGGTGAAGTTATAGTGTACGCTCTGTGTGAAAAAATAAATAAATTATTGAGATTTTTTTATTTGAAAGAGTTTAACTTTTGTGCAAATCATTCGTGGGTCACGATATTGGCGTGATAATGGTTTTGTCGAGGAAAAATAAAACCCTTCAAACGAGATACGTGCGAATTATTTGGACGATAAAAATATGTTTGTAAACACGTAGTAGATTTTTGTTAATTTAGTAACCTGTTTCACATGTTTGTAATCGAGTATTCTGTAGTTATACGATAAATGTGTTTTTTAATTATAGAAAATTGTTTAATAGTCTGTTAGGAAAAATACGTCTACTATTGAAGATTGATGGACTATGGATGGACTATAATATACTGTATACTTGTATTGTATTCATAAAGTCTTACTGCTTGTACCTTGCATTTCTGAACTTATTTGACCTTTAGAAATGTAATAATATTTTCTTATTAAAAACAAGATAGATCAGGTCCAATTTTCTTTGTTCTGAAATGACGGATTGGTATGGCATTATTAATCCGTCGAAAATGTAATAATTCGAATGGGTGCTTAGTATCCGGATATGCGTGCACTTGTTAAACGATTTTGGTAACCGTATAAAGTAATATATGTATTACCATATAGCGGCAGTGTATTCTGTTGAGATTCCTTTTAGCCAATAAGGATAACTCGGTCTTTTGTTTTAAATAAATGTGATTTTCTGTATTGATGACTGATCGACTACGTTACGCCCACTCGAGTTGAGTTGTATAAAATATTGTTCCGGATTGATCAGAAATAAAGAAGAAAGAATATGTAATACAAAAATGTAGATGGATAGATCGGTATATAGCGTGTGTGTGTGTGTGAGTGAGAGAGAGAGAGTGAGAGAGTAAAAAAATTACACGTCCTACCTGATGTTAATTACGGTTTAGATGTGTTGATTGATAGGCCATCCGTACATGGGAATCCCTCGTCGTTATAATATATATTATATTAATATATTTTTTTTTCCTTAGCTCTGGGTCTTTTCCCCTTCTTGTCCGTATTCGAAAACCGATCACATTTATTTGCTTTTCCCAATTATTATAGACAATGAATAATCGTGTTCGATTATCCGGCCACAAACGGTTTTTTGATTCGGCCAGCCGAATAGCCGAATAAATGGCAGACAATCGCTCACGGGGCAATGCAACGCCGTTCGACACCTTCATACGCTTCGTAGTAGTTATCCATCCATCGTTTCTTCAACGCTCGGTAATTGCATCGATGATGATTATAATAATAACGTCTAATGTTTTATATTTTCGAAAATCGTGACTGTCATTTTCCGTTTTTTTTTTTTTTTTTTTGACATAAAAAACGACTACAATCGGACATACCTACACGTTCAAGCTTAGATTTTGTATGTAAAATGACGTGCACTTGTTACACGATCGTTTTCCATAATGTTTATGAAATGTTTTTATTTCATCGATAATTAATTTGGAAATTTAATTATTATTTTAAATCATAATTTTGTATACTAAAAACAATTTTAGATCAATTTTATTTAGTTTCGAAACGTTTTACAGAAATATTACATACGTATATTCGTAAATTTTATTTTAAAACTTATATTCTCTCATTATAAAATTAATTATTAAAATTCAAGTTTAAAAAATGAAAATAGGTATAACTCATGTTAAATTAAAAATATCTATACATTTATTTGAGCTGAAAGAGTTACAAAGAACCATAATTTTGTTTGTGTAAATACACTAATTACTAACTGCACAAGTACAATTACGAATTATAATCAAGAATATATTACTATCAAATCAAATGTAGAAGTACATTTTTATTGATCTCGTTTTATACCGAGTAAAATAAAGAGAATTAATGTGAAATAATTTACAGGTGTAATTTTTTATAGTATAACATATAAGATTAAAATAAACTTATTTACGTGTACTAATAGTACAAATACAATATTTTAATTTGTCAGGTGAACATTGCACTACTTTATTATTTGTTTGACCTTTTAAACCTTATTAAAGGTTTATTATTTTTAAAACTTATTTAATTCATAATTATTATCGAAAATTACATTTTGTAATGTTTTGGATGATTTATAAGATAAAATTATAAAACACATTTTATAAAACTTTTTTATTTAAAAACTTTAAAATATTCTATAAATAACAACATAAGTGAACAGTTTAAGTTGAAGTATACTATTCTGAATTTCACAAATTGTATTATAAATTCTCAGCCATAAGTTGTACCTAAACGGTCAAACTGCTGTAGGTTATCTATTAAAATAATGACTTGCGGTTTTAAATTTTTAACATTGCATTTGGCGAAAATTCGAAACTATACCAAATAATATACAAATACACTCACACGATTCTAGTAGTAGAATTCTACTCGGATAGACGATTTCTTAAGTCACGTATCAATTTGCTATGTAATTGATCAACATATACTTGATCGCCTCCGGCTAACGCGAGTCCATGGGTCGTATATCTCAGATTGAAATTCCTTTTTTATTTATTCTGGTGGTCGTTATGCATAAGCTACACGTGAAATCCAAATCCATGTAACTGGTATTTTTTTTTGTTTATCGTATAATGTAGTAAAAACTGCAACTATAATAATTACTGACGTGTATATAACATTATAATCGCGAACGTGATTTTATTCAAGTATAATTAAAAAAAAAAAAAAATGAATAATGCTCGAGCAATAACCGACAGAAGTAAACATATTATATTGTCGTGTTCAAAATATGATTATTTTGAAACGTTTACATAAGTATAATGCTATCATAATTATGATATTGTCTTTGAAAACAAAAATCCAATCATTTTACGATAGTATTTTTCAAACAAATAAAGGCGTAAGGAATTGTTATCAAACAAATATTGGTTGATAGCTATAGAATTTTTACATCAAATAAAAAATGCTGTAATTATGGGCAGGTATTTATTTTCAAATAATCGCGCGTTATTGGTTACATAATATCTCAAACGGTGCAGTATTTGATAATGTGGATGCAGCTGTTCAAACTTCATTAGAAATGTTGTATGAACGTGTTAATTTAATATTATTATAACCTTGTCCGTAAACCGTTCATGACGATAAGGGTCGTGATTATGTAAAAAAAAAAAAAAAATACACCGATGAGTTGTTATTAATTTCCGTCTGAAAAATATGATGTAACTTCGATCCAGAGTTTTATTTTTCCTGTTGCACTTATAGATAAACTTATGACTGTCTTTAGTAATATGATAAATAATAACATTACTTTCAAAAAAATTTATCTTCAAGGTGGGTACATTATGTACAGTTTTTCATAAAAATACCCAAGAAACATTTTCAGTATACAAAAAGCAGCGGTCAGATATCGGTTGGATTGTTAAAATTTAGATTCG